TCTTCATTTCACATTACCAGAGGTACCCATATGCTAAACAGAAGTCTTTGATCTGAAGAGCTATCAGCTGTGCTCTTTTTTGAAATTAATTGTTGCTTATTTCTTTTATTTTTTTTTTTTTTTTTCATTTTTTATTTTGCATTTTACCCTGTTTGTACTATTATTAGCACTTTACACATTTCTTATTGCACACACGTGGCAAATGTTTTGGTAATAATTAGTTTTTCGTGCCATTGCAGTTCACAATATAGAAAAAATAATGATATGGACCAAATGTGTTTGACAGAAAGAAAGATAGAATGTGTGTGTGAGGGAAAGATAGAGGCAATGAAATAGAAAAGAAAACAAAAGAAGAGGATGGAAAGAAAAACCGAGCAGGAGGGGTCAAGCGACAGGAAGCTTCAGTGATGCATTTATACCGAGGGTGGGCAGTTTTACAATTGTATAGATAGTGGCTCAAATGTCTCCAAGTCCACAGTTTTGCACAGCTGGAAACACGGCCGTTAAGCTCCAACCCTGGCAGAGCGAGACACTGAATCAAAAGACTCCGCACTGCGTGAGCTACGTGTAGCCAACACACACACACACACACACACACACACAGAAGGTAGATTCTGGGCCGCTGAGCAGCATCTGTTGATTGTGACACTCTCACTCACCTTTCTATCTCATGTCTCATACATTTTTTATAGTGCCGGTTTTCTTCACCATGAACTGTGTTCAGAGGGCCTAACTGACAGGAAAGAGAATTCCCCACCGTGTGAAAGGAGGCAGTGCTGCCGTTCGATCCTGTATCATTACGGATCCATAGTAATGTGACTGTAAATGTATGGCATTAGAAATATTTTCTAGATAGCTCACAGAAGCGTTTCTGTGTGTATGCAAGCGAGCGTCGTCGTCCTGAACGTGTGTGTTTATGTGTGTGCTGTAGCACCTGTCATCTGAACTCTGTTACACTACTGCCATCTGCTGCTAGAACGACTCTCTGCTGGGTCGCTGCATTGAGCTTCACATCCTTATTCAACATTATGGCTTTATAAAATCATAAAATAATAAAACATGACACCAAATGCTTGTTTCCATGGCCTCAAATGTCCTTTCTCTTGCTTCAAAGTTAGTACTTCTGTATGCTAGCTTTATGTCTTTACTCGCCTTAGTTTTTGTTGTTTAGATGTGTAATAAACAAGAAGTCATTTTTGATAGATGTGATTACTCTATACTAGGTTATTTCAATGTTTCTCTCTTTAATAAAACCACCGGTGCAATTTTAAAGTCAAGAAAATAGCTTACTCATATTTTGAAACTTCTAAACCTTCCACCTTTAACTATTTTAACTTTGCGTTCTTTGCTTTTAACTGCTTCTTGTATGAAAGAGGCCACCGTGAAAGTATGCATGACTCAGCTCTCGTCTCTCAGAATAATTTGCTTTTGTCTGCAGGTTATAAACAACATCCTTCACTGGTGTATGTGGTGATTGTATGACCTCACGTTGAAACTGAGATGATTTATCATTTTAGGATTTCAGAATCCAAAAGATTTCTCCCACATAATAATTCATATAGTGAGCAAAACATTGAGCATCAGTCACTGGAGGACTGCCCTCTGCCCTCTAAATGAATAAAAAAGTCACTATATCATAATCTGCTGTTATTGGTTTATCAGTATTGAGGAAGAAGAGGGGTCCAGTGTGTGTAAAGCTGAATTTAATTGAAAGCTGTACTAGAGGTAAGGCTAACGACAAAACACAGTACCTTTTATGAAGGTCTGCTGTATCATTTGGCATATTGTGTTAGTTTTTCTTTTTTATTATTTTAAGAGTGGTGGTGAGAAAATAAATTGCTCAGACATTGGAAAATTGCTTCTCACACCAGCTTGTTAAAAAAGCCAACTATGTCAGCAGCGTAATGGCTATTGTCAAGCACAGCGGATTATTTGTGTCAGGGTCTTCATTTTCCAATTCATCCCAAACCCTATCTGGGTTAAAGAGAGAGGGAGTCTGGTAGAGTATCTTCATATCACCGAAGAGGGGAGAGAGGGAGAAGGAGATGTCGAGTTTAAAGGACTAAAGTGACTGAGAGGGACAAAATTAAACCCACCTGGGATAAACGCATTCATGTAAGCCCATGGGACGCACGGCAGCGGGCTCATGGGAGTTCTGTGTGGGGTTTGCTGAGATGTATTTAGCTGTCCGTTGGGACAGCACTCGTTGCAGTCTAGAGATATTGAGAGAGCACAAAATTAGTGCAGCCACGAAACATCCAGTATGCCAGAGCTATTATAAATATTTGATGTAAAACATGACCACAGTAGTAGAGCGTTCCTCTAGACCAGTGTTTCCCAAACGGGGTGCCGCTGTGGAGAGCAGGGGTGCCGTGTAAAAAAAAAATATTTAAAAATATATATATTTTTAAATTGCTAAAATGTTCATAAAAGCAGCTATTATATAATATCCATTTCTGATGTCGCCAATAATTAGAGATACATGGAAATTCCAGCTGCCGAAAATTAGTTCACCGCTCAGGATTCACTTTCACATGGTGGGACCATAGACTGTATAAAAACAGGGTGTGACGTTCTGCGTATTATCCCGCTCTATGCGTGTGCGCTCCGCTTAGGCCCATGTGAGTGCTCCACTCATATACCGTTCATGCTCATTGGAACAGCAAAGTCCACTCAAAAATCAAGCTGACAGGAAACATCTATGTAGTGCAGTATTGTTTCTGTCTGCAATAGCCCTACTGTGCTGTAACAAGGTGTGGTAAATGGGCAACTCTGGTAATGCTGCCCTCTCATTCATTGATCTACTAACCGTTATGCTCATGTGTCCTCTGATAATAATAATAGCTTTCTAGGATTAAACATTATTTGAATAATTGGTAAAAAAAAAAAATCTCTTAAATTTTTCTAATGAAAAAAATGTCTCTTTTCATTAGAAATTAGCCTACTGATTGCCACCATTGATGGACACATTTTTTAAATAATATAAAAAATATCTGTATAACAGTGCATTCTGCAGTTCTTCCCTGCTGTACCAAATATCTATACTTTTCAAAGTATCATATCGAAGTTAGAAATTTCTAACGGGTGCCGCGACTAAAGAAAGGTTGGGAAACACTGCTCTAGACAAATGTGTGGACTACTTTATCAAGGATCTTGAGGGAAGATAAATCTGCCAAACAACTTTTTAACATGCCCATCAATGTGCTGGGGTTATGATACTGTAGTAGTGTAGTAACTTGTTTTTTGTTTTGTTTTGTGGGTTTGTTTGTTTTCTGGTTTTGATTTGCTTAAACTTTTTTCTGTTGTTTGGTTTGCTTTTTTCTTGTTTTGTTTAGATTCTTTCTGGGTTTTGTTTGATTGTTTGTTTGTTTTGTTTTTTTCATCTTTTTTTATTTTGTTTGGTTAGTTTATTTGTGTTTTTTCTCACTTTTTTGTTGTTTTTGCTTCTGTTTTGTTTTTTGTTTGTAACAGAAGAATTTCAGTAGTATGTTTATTCTTAATACATCTGTGTTTATCTATGACTATCTTTTTTTTAGATGAAAAGCAGGATGAAGAAATGATGAGCCAGCAAGGTAGGCGTTTCGTGTATGATTGTTCAAAGCTAAGAGAATTTTGTTTTTCCTGGCATTGACCTTCTCGTACAAAGCCCTGAGACAGAGTCGTTTCCGAGTAGTTATATTTTACAATCAAGAAGAGCAGGTCTGCAGATTTACTTCAGTGCTTGTCTCTTCTGAGAGACACATCATTAAAATGTTCCTGTGTCTTGTTATCCTAGTATTTAGCTTGTGTTATCGTCTTGTCACCTCAATTTAGGAGCAACAGCAATTTGTCTGTACTTAATGAATTATTTTATCTACTACAACTTAATGATTGGCTTGTTCTCCTTGGAACAAATTCAACTCCACAACTAGAACCAAACAACATCCGGAGTTTAAATGGTTGAAACTTCACTAACTAAATTTAAAATGGGATTAAATAATCTGTGTGATGTTGTAATATCACATTTTAATATCAAAATCACACTGCAGTTTCTCATTCTCAGTAAACCATTAAGAAAAAGACATGTTTGATAATCAAACATCAGCTGGAACCTTTCCTGTTCCTCTTCACAGAGGAGTTTGTGCTTTCATTTCTGCTTGCCAGCAGCAAGAGTGATTAGATAGCAATCATCCTCTCTTCTTTAATATGGGATTAGCCACTGCAGTCTGATGAAAGGACAAAAAAAAAATTTTCTTGCTTGGTTTTTTCTTTTTTTGGTTTAAGAAGACAAAAATCTTGTCATTACGTGTATTTCTCTTGTGTGATTTCAGAGGAATCTACTGAGGATGTGACAATGCAAAGCCAGGACCCAGAAGGTTTGTCATCATCTAAAAAGTTAAACACTTAAGACACTCTTATTTAAAAATTTGTGAATTAAATTGCATTAGATAACAAAATATCAAATAATTTTAGGAAATACAGCATGCATGTCGTTTCACAAAAGTTTCTAAGCTTTTAAGTAATAAAACAAGAGATGCAGTATTCAAAATTATTAAATAAAGTATTTGGACACTATCTGGTTCACTTGAAACCTCCAGCACCATTTGTTTGCAAATGGTTCAATATTTGACATTCATACATATTCATGACATTCATACAGATTTAAGTATGACTTAAGTACCTAAAAGTTTACCAATACTTTTTCAGACCAATACATATTTCCTGATTTCTCATAATATCCTGTAGCCGAGAACAACAAGAATCAGAAAACATGCAAAATAGGTCCGTCTTTGCAGTTCAGTATGCATATATCTCACCCAAACACATGGAGTCTACATGCTAGTGAGCAAAAAAATTCACTGGGTCTCTCCACAGTCTTTACGCTTCACATGTCACGCTGTACCCATTCGCTGAAGGATCTGGATTGGCTCTGTTGTCCTTGAACTTGTCTCATTACCGACAGAGAGAGTGGCTGTCAGATACAGTTATTACCGTGACGCTCTTGTGCGTGTGTGTGTGTTTTTGGGGTGCATCTGTTTAATGAGACACCTCGCTCCAATCCACACGAACATACACAGACAGACATCAGAACATGTGCATCGACAGACACACACCACTGCACACGCTGAAATGATCGCTTGTACACACACACATACGCTCAGAGGCGCATGGCCCGACTCCCTCTGGGTATTCATGTAGCACGATAGAAACTTTACATTTAAACCCGAGGACAAAACTAGCCTCAGCCTGTCTCTGCTCAGCAGAGCTCAGTTGAGCTTGCACTAAATGTCACTTTGACTGCAGAGCTCTGAATCGTGTTTGCACATTCATAAGCCGCTGTTTTGTTTTGGGTTGGGAGTATCGACTTGGTACCGAAGTACCAGTGCTTTTTGACATCCTTATCGCCAACTTTTGATTTACTTTTCCCCTTCCAGCTCTGACAGGTGTAGCTATGAGCATTACTAATAGTAGTCTCGCCAAGCAGAGGAGGCAAAGCAAATGTTCTGCTTGGACCGAACCCAAGAGCCAGAGATACTTGCAATTATGTTCCCTGGAGAAAAGCAAAACAGAGAGGTTTTTAAGACCAGGTGAGGCGGAGCTGGAGATTCTGCAGAGACAGAGGCTAAATCTGAATTTACCTGAGTGCCGAGCACCTGCGACGCATGAATCACGAGTGCGAACTGGCACATAAAGATGTATCTGCATTGTTTTTTCATGTTTGGTTGTTCATTCATGTGTTTTTCTATACACACATACAATTTGTATGTGTGTATATATATATAAATAATTGACTTTATTATGTATTATTTTTTTTCACATATTTGTAATATGCATGACCATATATCTGTGTGCAAACAGTATCAAATCCTACTAATAAAGAGTTTGTATGAATTCTATCCCCATATACAAGCTGTTTTACACACAACCACAGGAGTAAAATTCATACTCTGGCTGAATACATCTCATTTCAGAGGGAAAACAAACCAAGCTTGGGAAAAATAAACAATTTCACTTCAAAATGGATGACACCCATATTGTTGTCTCTGCCTTGGTGTCTGTCATTCTAGGGTGCATGTGGGTCTTTAGTGTGTCCAGATATTTTGTGAGACAAATGTAATTGTTTTTCTGTCTGTTTGTTTTCCAAAGGCGAGAGCCCTGACGCCGAATCCAAGGACGAGGAGGCCAAACCTCCTGAAAAAGGAGAACCTACAGGTAACTGCTCCCATATCTTGCTCTAGTTTTTGGTTGTAAATGTGAACATAACTTTGACTCAAGATATTTTGAAAATACAGTACAAAAATACAATTTAAGAATATATATTTTTTCATTTAATTTATTCCTGTGATGGCAAAGCTGAATTTTTAGCAGCCATTGTTTCAGTCACATTATCCTTTAGAAATCATTCTAATATGCTGATTTGGTGGATATCAATATTTGTAACTGTTAACAGCCAGGCTTCTGTATGATAAAATAAACTGAAAATGACAAATAGTCAGTTCATGCAGGAACATATGGTGATACTCCATGATTCTGCTGTTCTTGAAGAATTTAGAACAACTTGGTTTTTAAAGTTGGCTAAACATACCAGTTTTTTTACCCACAACTAGGACTGCATAATATATATATATATAAAAAATTCAATGTTATACAATAGAAAAAGTAGTAATGTGTGTTTAAGGCGAATATTTTTAGTGTATTTAAAAACTGAAAATTACATATCCAGCATTTACATTTCACAATATGTGCAACATTTCAATAATTGTAATATATATTGCACAGGCCTACCCACAATATTTGTTACCACTTGTGGTTTTAAAAATGAGGTAAATACCATTTTAATATTCAAATAAAACCTGCGCCACTGACAGTAAGTGATTAAACAGTCTTGACATCTTGGGTTTAATATTTGAAACCAGCTTTCCCACACCACAGAAATACATTCACTTAAAAAATTAGCAATAAAGTGAGCAATCTGGGCTCCTCTTGGGATGCAGCGAGATCGAGAGTCCTCGGGCGGCTGTAACGAGTGTGTGTATGTGGGTGATATAAGTCTTACTTTCCTGCAGGACACTACATGAGTCTCGGTATCTGTAAGTGAAGGATGGAGGCCTCCAGGGCTCCATGTTGCCCAGGTGGTGCGATATGAGCCTCACACAAACAGCCAAACTACCCCACACACTTCCCACTCCTCCATTGATTATGTGAACGCATGTCTGTGTCCCTCTGAACTGCGACTTCAAACGCTTTCCCTGTAAATGGAGTCAGGGTGGACACGTGTGCATTAAATCCTGTTTTGTGTTTTTCATCTGATGGAGTGTGTATGTGTGTGTGGGCGAGGGCTAAATTTATGGCCTTGTATCCCACTCCAGAGCAGACACAGGTGTTAGCTGGAACCACACAGATGGATACTCTGACTCTACATCCCTTTAAAAGAGAGAGAAAGGGATGAGATAGGGAGAGAGAGAGACCCAAACACAAATTAAAGGCATTAGGCTGAAACAGCTGCTCCAGTTCACCCTAAAGTGGCGGCTTAATACCGCTCGGTCTTAAGCAATGGGTCGCCTATTTCTTCTCCATTAAAACCATCATTTAGAAGTCAAGTCAATCTGAGTGATGGTCCACCAATATTCCATCTCACAATATATACAGTTATTAAATCTTATTGCACACTCCTTTCATTTATAGCCATTTTTAGTGAGTATAGTGATTTGCTGGCTCAAACATCAAATTTGTTGGACATCTGAGTATAAAACGCAAGAAATGCTAAGTCCATGGGGCCTTGAACTGTAATCCTTTTTTTCTTTTTCTTTTTTAAATGTTTATATATTTTTTTTTTTTGACAAGTTGGCTGTTAAAATTTTTTTTTTTAAATGTATAATATTATTTTGTTGGCAATTATTTATTTATTTATTTATGGAATGAGGACCAAAGCAGTTATACATTTACTTACTGTTCAAAAGTTTTTTTTTTTACCGTCTGTAAGATTTATTTTAATGTATTTATTTATTTATTTATTTATTTATCTATCAAATGTGATAGCTGAGATTTTTACATCAAAGAATATTACAAAACAATATTAAGCAGCACAACTTTATATTCATCAAATAAACCTAAAAACAAGTATTTCGGTTTCCTCAAAAAATATTAAGCAGCACAATTGTTTTCAACTTTCCTAATAATTTGGAATGTTTCTTCAGCAGAAAACAACCATATAAAAATGAATTCTGAAGGATCACGTGACACTGAAGACTGGGGTAATGATGCTGAAAATTCAGCTTCGCCATCACAGGAATAATTTACATTTTTAAATATATTTAAATAGAAAACAGTTATTTTCAAATCTAATAATACTTTATAATATTATTCTTGAGCCAGCCTTGGTAGCATAAGAATCTTCAAAAATATTACAATATCTTACAGACCTCAAACTTTTGAACAGTCTTCTGATTCATAAAAAGCATTATCTCTTATTGGTGTACAAACAAAGAGCTTATCAAAACAAAACATTCAGAAGAAATATATATAAAAAAGAAAGAAAAAAAGAGAAAAATAACAGTAAAAATCATAAAATGCCAGAGTTTTATTTTTGCAACCTGCCTGACAGAATAGCTTTTGTTCAGATGATCGTCATTTTACTAGGTTTAATGATTTCACGTTGGTGCCTAAGAACACTTTTCATCATGGTAAAATCACTGTAACAGTCTCTCTCGCTGCTTATTGCTTTTGTGTTAAATGGACTGCTGAATGCAGAGCGTTTTTGGCTCTCATACTCTATTTGTTAAATGAAAATGGAAACCGTGTCCACAGGACAGAAGAAGATGCACCATTTATAATAACAAGCATATTTTTCACATTTTACATGTTTCTTCATCAATCCTACTTAATGCAGTCCTGCCCACTAAAATCCAACTACATCCCACTAAAACGACAGTTAAAATTCACTGAAGGCTGAGCAATGTAAATTCTGGCAAGTTTCTAATCAACTTCAAATAAATCTTTATCAATTTCAACAAGTTCCACAAATGTCAACAAGCTAGCCAAACTGGTTTGATTCCCCACACAATCCACCCATAAGACAGCAGCTGTAATGCAAGACTTAATCCTCATTGCTTAAGTAACTCACACACAGACAGAGATCATAGACTCACATTCTCATGTTCATACCCAGAGTGCACCTGAAAGGACATGACTAATCAGAGGCTTAAGCCATGATCAGTGACATTAATACAAACCCACAACTCACACACACAGAAGAACATCTGCTGCATCCAGTTGAGTACCAGAGAAAGGGTCTCCGTCTCCCAGATGCTGCAAGTTTTTCCAGCCGTCCCTGATCAATTAAACGCCTACAGCAATTCCTTCAATGAGAGAGAGAGTAAAGGACTGAAAATTTGCATTCAGTTTCCACATTTACTTGTTTTCTCACTGTAAAGATGTCAACCAAATCTTAAACTCTTAAACTTGTGTGACGGTAGCATGCTAATAGCAGAAATCCAGCAAATATATTTAATAAAACATGATTATTCTGCTTCTGACAGTATGTGTTCAACTAGAAGTAGGACATACTGAGTTTGTTAGTATTAACCCATGATACATAGAGAACTCAATCTGTGATATTGTTCAAAGCATAAGATATTTCTTTCGTTATGGAATGTTTCAACTGATATTGACATTTCCGCATATATCTCCCAGATGCCTGTTATTTATGTGTGTCTCTTTGGGTTTTAGTGGAGGAGAGTCCAACAGCAAAGAAGAAAGTTGAACAGGAGAGCGAAAAAGAGACCTGGAAGCAAGAAGGCAAGGGAGAAGACCCACAAGTTGCAGGTGAGATTTACACATCATTCACACACTGTTTTTTCCCACAGGATGTAGAAGAAACATGTCAATACACACAGATCACAGAAAATAAGAGCTTAGATTTACAGGATAAAAAAAGACACATAAAACAATGTTAAACGTGATGTGTATATTTTATCCAGCTTAGTAGCAGGAGATCATTTAAGCCTTTTAATAGCTCCTTTTCTTTCAACAAGTGTAAAGACTTACTTAAAAGTTGATCATCTAAATATCTATATATAATAATTAGCATGACTGGTATAATCTGATAGTTGTGCATCTTAATACTGGCTCTAACATTGTATCTAAGGTTTTTATATTGTGGATCTGATTATTCCTCTCACTGATAAGGTCAGTAATGATGTATAGATAGTTAGAAAGTAAAGTGTATCTAAATTCGCTGAAAGTTTAATCAGATGTGAAAAGTTTTCTGGCATGTGTGACTTGATAACTATAACAACACTGATCAAAGGAGAGCTGAGGAGCTGTTATATGAAATTATTTCATAGTGACAAAAGTCTGTCACTGAATGTCTAATGGACTGAGTGAGATGTGTTCACTTTATGAGGAATTGTGTTTATGAGAACGGCCTAAAATGCATTTTCACACTTAAGCCATTAAAAATGAACATCATTAGACACAAAATATTAAATCTTGTGGCAGTTGCAAACAAATGATTAACCTTCTCTCAGATTTTTTCTTCATGTTCTTTAACCAGCTGGTTCTTAGTGGATGCACATTTTCCAGTTAGTCTGAAAACAAACAAAACAAGAAATTGTCCAATACTTTGTATTTCAGTTTTGAATAGTATATGTGTTTGATGTGATATATTACTATTTATTGTAATTGCGTTCATAATGGCATTCAGCAACTCTCTAAAGTCATTATAGGTTTCCTGCAGGAATTGACAGCTTGGAAGCCTCTATTCCTTTTATCAAGATGTGAAAGACAGTTTTTTCCCTCTCAAAAAAAGCATTTTGTTTTTTGATTGTGTATTGATTGATTGTTTTCTGTGCGTGCTGAAATAGAAAATTTTTGAAAAGCCTCTGTGCAGAAATTGGAAGCATCTCCAGAGTCCGTCGTGATGGCTGGTTAGCAGCTTGGATGCCAAGGAATTTTCTAATCTCTCAATTTGTCATGAAAATCCTCTTAGTAAAGACATTACAGGTTTTCAAATCTGGCATTGTGTGTGTTTAACCATTTTTTACCAAACTCGCCAAACATACAAAGCGCTGACGTCTTAATACGAGCCTGCTATCTGTGACCGCACAGCCTTGTTAAATGCAGACAACTTAAAAACTGAAAACAAAAACACAGTGTTGTGTTTTCTCACAGGCATATGCTGTCAGCTGTTTGAGGCAGTATGAGAGGGCAGAAGAAACAGCTGTCGTGTTTTTAATCTTCTAAGTTTCATACAGGAGATCTAGTAGTCTAATGCACTTCTCCTGCATTTGGAAGATAGTAAATACGTTGTGTGTGTGTGTGTGTGTGTGTGCGTGTGCGCGACACCTTAGGCAACAGATGAGCATCATCAAGGCCCGCTCTCTCCTTTTGCCATTTCCTTGATCGATTACTCAGCTCATATGAGGCTGTCCTCCCCTCACTCTCGAGGGCAGGGCTTCAAATTTGTCTCGGAGCACCATTATTAAAAATGATAACTGTAATCTCACCGGCTGCCGGATCTGAATGAGGAAATAAAGGGACGGTAATTCTGAACTGGATGAATTATGAATGGAGCTTTTTGAGAAGTGAGCAAATCGGAAAGGACAATGTTATTGGATTAGTATTGTTTTGTTTTTTTTATCTGTTAATGTGTTAATCTGTCTCGTTCTGTCAAGGGGAAGAGAAAGGGGGTAGCCCAGAAAAGAAGATGCAGACAGGCCAGCCTGATGAAGCGGGAAAACAGATGGAAGGTAAGACTAGTATGATTACTTAATTAAAGAAAAAGAGAGATGTACATGGCACAGTCCACGTATGCTTTGGTGTCCAATTTCTTTCGTTAAAAGGATGCCGAAAAATCTGATATAGTTTATACTTATTTCATTCTTCTGTGTGAAGATATTTCTGAAGAATGTTGATTTTGGTACCCACTGTATGGACAAAAAAAAAGTTAGTATGAGAAGAAACTGTTTGGTACCAACATTCTTCAAAATATCTTCTCTCAAATAGAGGTTTGAAATGACATGAGTGTGTGTAAATCATGACAATTTTCATTTTGGGGTTGGCTAATTTTTAAAGGCTTTAGAAGATAATTTAATATTTTATTATATTTATTATTTATAGCTTATATAGTAGTTGATCAAATATGTATATTCGAAGTGTATTAGTAAACTGTAAACCTGTTACCTGTGAACTAATATTTGGCCCAAACTAGAGCAAGACAGCTTGATGTAAGCTGAATTTGCAAACCTTTTACCCATTCTACCTTTTTTTTTTTTACTTAATTATATTTTTAATTAATTAATTAATTTTTATTATATATTATAATGTTTTTTTTATTTGTATTGTATTTGTTAATTATTATTCATTTATTATATTATATGTATATATATATAACATTAATAATATATATTAATATAAATATTAACTATATAATTTAATACTAAAATATGATACTTCCCTCTCATCGTATTATTATTATTCAATTCTTGAATTTTTATTTTACATTTATTTCTTAAAAAAATAAAACATGGTATTTTGTATATTTTTGTATAAGGTTGGCAAAAAAAATAATAGAAAATGCATGGAAGATAAAACCTGTTTTCTAAAGGTTAAGCATTTCTTTCACTGACCATTTGAAAAAGAAAAAAAATGCATCCCTACTTATACCCTATTTATGGTAAGTGAAAGTGCCACATTAAGTCTTCATATAAAGCAAGGTCGCACATAACCAGACACACATACAATAATATAGATACGTGTTCGCACATTCATTCAATTATGCCCACTATTTGTTTACACAAAACTTGATTAAAGTGTTATGTACACAGATAATGGATAACGATTCCCATTTAGACACAAGCAACAGACTAATACACACACACACACATGCACACACAAACGTGGCAGTACCAGATGTTAAACACAGAGAAGGTGAGATCGATACAACATATTTAAGAAGGTAAAGCCAAGCTCAACACCTCACCATACGGTGCTTTTAACAAAAACACGCTCACGTTCACACACAAACAGCCTTCCATAACACCTCAGCCGAGTGTTTCTGAATGCTGTTGGCACGTGGTCATTAGGGCACTGCTGCCAATTTTAAGCAGGTGTGTCGGCTTGTGTAACTTATAAAAGTCTAATGGTTCTGCATGTGTTAGCATGGGATTGGCTTCTGAATAAAAGCATCTGATTCTGCTAAATGACTGACTTACATGGAAGCAAGTAACACAAATAAGGAGCCCTCAGCTCGAGAGGCTTGTTTCGAAAGTCTGCATCAATATTAAAAACATCAAATTGTTTACTCAGTAAAGTGCCTAGGCTTGTTTACTTTTTGAAATTGTGCTCAAAGTGGATCTCACGTTCGACTTGTTCACAGGCTTTTCCCCTCGACCGGCCCTGTACGGTAGACTCGATAAGATTCATAAATTAAACAAAGTTCTCTTAGCCTGAAGGTACCTATGAATAAGTCTGGCTTTGCTAATGGAGGCCGTTTTTTCGGCCATGGAGTATTGCGGTTCCTGCGGTGGGAGTCGATATCGCCTCTTCGCCTGCATGCAGGTGAGATTTACTGCGACGGCTGCTGAGCCTCAGTGGCTCTGAATCCAATCAGAGTTTCTCTCCTCATCTCTCACTGTCTGACTGATGAAGGTGGGCTTTTTCACTCTGTCGCACCAACCGAGGTTCAGCCTGTTTCTGCATGTCGTTTTTTGATTACATATTGCAAACCGCAAGACTTATTTTGCCTGATTAAATCTGATGTTGCAGTGGTAAAGTAAATCGACCAGGTGGACAGGTGGATCTTTAGATCGGTGTAAGATATCTTAAGAAAAGTGTTGGTTTTTGGAAAGCTTAAGGATCCCTTGTGCTGGGTGAATGAGAGTTTGTGTGTGTGTCTAACTGTAAGGTTAGAAATACACTCGTAAGTACACAAACATGACGTGCTGATGTATCTAACGCTTGATGAAGAGGATGCAAATTGTGACTTTGCTGCACGTTAAACAAAAATGTTTTTTTTTTTTCAAATTTGATATAATATTGGTCATCAATTATGCAGTTTGTAGGGCTTAAAAAATTGACTAAAATTGTAGTATTATTATTGTTGTTATTAAATAAAAAATAACTAAGTACATACAAAATAAAAATATTGCTTTTGTAATATTTCACTGTAAAATAAATATATTACATATATTTATAGAAATATTTCTTAATTAGTAATGTTAGTAATAGTATTATTATTTTACATTTAAAACTAAGTTTAAAATTACAGTGTTATTTATGGATTTATTTTTATTTTGATGGAAAACCACAGGGAGCCTTTAAAGGTTCTCTTTTGTTGATAAACACTTCTCATTTCTCACACTATTTCTCTTTTATAATACTGTAAAGCTGCTTTGACACTTTGATCTGCATTGTAAAAAGTGCTATATAAATGACGGTGACTTGACTTGACATTATCAAATTGCAAAATCATTGCAAACTTTGCAATTTGATAAACCATATTGTGATTTTGGTTATATTGATTAATTGTGCATCCCTATAACATAATACAGTATATGTAATATGTACACAACAAATCTCTTTGTTGATTATAATGAGAGCATTCTAGAGCATCTCACTTGTGTATATTGTATAGTTACATCACGTACTAAGGCTATTTTTGAGTGTTAAGTGATGTTTTTTTAAGCACTAATGTTAGTGTCACCACTAAACAAAACTGAAATATAATTAATTCCACATAGTACAACTAATGCTGTAATTAGCACTTTAAGGACACTTTGTAGTGATTATTCAGGCCTTATAAATTGTGTGTTTGGTTTCTGTTTGTATCTGGAAATCCTCCTTATTTTTGGTAGTCCATTGGTCATTGGCTGCATGTGTTTACACTTGATAGTTATCTTCACATGTCTGTTACATTAAACTGGGTCAAATTTGATATAATATTGGTCATCAATTATGCAGTTTGTAGGGCTTGAAAAATTGACTAAAATTGTAGTATTATTATTGTTGTTATTAAATAAAAAATAACTAAGTACATACAAAATAAAAATATTGCTTTTGTAATATTTCACTGTAAAATAAATATATTACATATATTTATAGAAATATTTCTTAATTAGTAATGTTAGTAATAGTATTATTATTTTACATTTAAAACTAAGTTTAAAATTACAGTGTTATTTATGGATTTATTTTTATTTTGATGGAAAACCACAGGGAGCCTTTAAAGGTTCTCTTTTGTTGATAAACACTTCTCATTTCTCACACTATTTCTCTTTTATAATACTGTAAAGCTGCTTTGACACTTTGATCTGCATTGTAAAAAGTGCTATATAAATGACGGTGACTTGACTTGACATTATCAAATTGCAAAATCATTGCAAACTTTGCAATTTGATAAACCATATTGTGATTTTGGTTATATTGATTAATTGTGCATCCCTATAACATAATACAGTATATGTAATATGTACACAACAAATCTCTTTGTTGATTATAATGAGAGCATTCTAGAGCATCTCACTTGTGTATATTGTATAGTTACATCACGTACTAAGGCTATTTTTGAGTGTTAAGTGATGTTTTTTAAGCACTAATGTTAGTGTCACCACTAAACAAAACTGAAATATAATTAATTCCACATAGTACAACTAATGCTGTAATTAGCACTTTAAGGACACTTTGTAGTGATTATTCAGGCCTTATAAATTGTGTGTTTGGTTTCTGTTTGTATCTGGAAATCCTCCTTATTTTTGGTAGTCCATTGGTCATTGGCTGCATGTGTTTACACTTGATAGTTATCTTCACATGTCTGTTACATTAAACTGGGTGTGTAATTATTTATGGAGCTAACATTTGACAGTTTGAAGCAGTTTCAAGTTTTCGCAAGTTACTTTTCTATTGTGCTAGAGCAGAACTCGAGCTTCTGTAGCTAGAAACATTTGCTTGCACATACTTGCATGGCGTAAAGTTGGTTTCAGGTCTTAGAATTATTAAAGCCAATGTTGTGTGAGGAAAAACTTGAGAGAAGACAAAATTGAAAGGGAGGCAGAACACACACTTTCGCTCCCATTGTCTTTTGTTCTCAAGCACAGTGGGCAATCAGTGTTTCTCAGCGAGAAGAAGACGGCTCAGAGTTTTCATTTTGGACATTTTTTTTTTTATTTGTTCTTTTACTCTCTCCAATCCTTTGTTTTCTGTCTGATGTCATGGTGAGGCTAAAATGGAGTAGTTTTCCAGCTTAACTCTTGGATAGCAGTCAATATTCATCATTTCCTGTCTTCCATCCACCGTAGTGAGATCACACGGCACCCATTCTCATAGCCATTCTTTTGCCCCTCCGATAAGAATTTATATTCACTCAGGAAATCATCAAAAGAAATCATTGTTTATTTAAGGGCTATGCTCACTTATTTATTTGTTTACTTCTTGAAGCTACACCCGCAGGATTCTCCATGTAACGTTGCCCGGGTTTAGATCTCCTGGGTTTTTGTTTCTTGTGTATTAACTATTGATTGCGGCCAAGTTTTCAAGACTGCGATAGTGATGGCATCCTAGTCGCTCGCAGCTTCCTGGAGAATGTGGCCCTGAGGCAGAAACCCAACAGTATCCGCTGTGGCCATCTGTTGCTTGTGTTGAAGCCCTGCACATTTCTAGCTTCTCAGTTCAGCAAAACCCACCCAACGACAAAGGGAGCTGCATTTGCCAACTGCTAATATTTAGTCATCATTAGACACCATTTTGTCTTTTTTTGTTTATCATTGACATAATTTGATTTGTTGGCCTATTCTCAATTTCCCTCCGTTTTTTCCCCATCGTTGAGGAGTAGCTAGGCTATATTTATTTTTCAATAGCATGACAAAGCTGTTTTTTTAAGTGTAGCTTTTCCAGTAATGACCTGATTTTTCCACTGAGAGGCAGTGTAGTGTGACTAAGCATTGCATTGTTACATTCTTTTGCAGGTCTGATTCATTCTAGTGAATCTGTTAATTCAAACAGTTCATGCAAATGAATTCATTTAAAAAAATAATTTCTCTCTTTATAAATTAAAATATTTGGTTATATGCAACGCACAATTAGCTATTGCCCTGGGCTTGTATATTGAAGCGGTCCTTGAAATAGGCATTAGCCAAATTTTCTGCATAAATGCAAATATTCTAGCGCTGTGTCTACATCCTGCCCCAAAACTGTCCTAGCACTTTGCTTTGGAGCAGGACAGATTCAATAACACAAAGTCAAGAACAACATGCACAGTACTTTAAAGGGATAGTTCACCCAAAAATGAAAATTCGGTCATTAATTACTCACCCTCATGTCGTTCCAAACCCGTAAGACCTTCGTTCTCTTCGGAACACAAATTAAGATATTTTTTGATGAAATCCAAGAGCTTTCTGACCCTGCATAGACAGCGAAGCAACTGACATTTTCAAGGCCCAGAAAGGTAGTAAGGACACTGTTAAAATAGTCCATGTGACGTCAGTGGTTCAGCTATTTGACTATTTTAATGATATCCTCTCTACCTTTCTGGGCTTTGAACGTGATGTCCACTGCTGTCAATGGAGAGTCAGAAAACTCTCGGTGTTCCAGACGCTACACATATAAGAGAAGCAGGTTCAAATCCTACTGTATTTTTTGTTATTTGATGAAAATACCTCATTGCCATGTTCATTGCCATGTTCATTAATTGTTAGTAGTATTATAACTGTTGTTGTTGTTGTTGTTGTTAATAATAACAATAATAATTATAGTAATAATCATGTTTGAATTTGTGTAATTTTTTTTAGTTGGCGAGGGTGCAAAAAAAATTACAATTTAAATAGACAGACAGACAGATAGATAGATGGATGGATGGATGGATGGGTAGGTAGGTAGATAGATAGATGGATAGATGTGGAGTATTTTGGAAGAGAGAAGCAGGTTCAAATCCTACTGTATTTTTTGTTATTTGATGAAAATACCTCATTGCCATGTTCATTGCCATGTTCATTAATTGTTAGTAGTATTATAACTGTTGTTGTTGTTGTTGTTAATAATAACAATAATAATTATAGTAATAATCTTGTTTGAATTTGTGTAATTTTTTTTAGTTGGCGAGGGTGCAAAAAAAATTACAATTTAAATAGACAGACAGACAGATAGATAGATGGATGGATGGATGGATGGATGGATGGGTAGGTAGGTAGATAGATAGATGGATAGATGTGGAGTATTTTGGAAGGATGGAATGATTTTGAATTGTTTCTGTTGGAAGTATTGCTTTTGAAGATGAACAATACGGGTTTGGAACCACATGAGGGTGAGTAATTAATGACAGAATTTTCATTTTTGGGTGAACTATCCCTTTAATGTGTTTTGTACATCTAGGTTAGCTCATACAATTGTAGCCTCTCTGGAGCTGTGGCTTAGTGGTTAGTTTTGGTTCTCATATAACAAACATATTTTCACTGCTCCAGAGTTCAGTGGTGGTATGCTTTATACCACTCAGTCCATATATATATATATATATATATATATAGAAATAAGTATCAACATTTAACAAAAAAATCGGATCTTCTGGTATATGGAACACACAATTGTTAATGCTAAAGCCATTTGTTGTCCATGTTAAACTTTTGTTAGAGGACAGGCTTGAAGGAAACCAAGCCATATAACCGCTTTCAGGCAGAGGTGCCACCATTGTATGAATTCACACATAAATATGACCCTCACAAACCCTCTTCAGCCACCACAACCATCTGCTGATGGACCCTGGACTTCAAACACACCTGATACGGCTGTTATTTGTGCCCCGGCAGAGCACCCAGAATGCATTGTGTGTGCTCTCCATTATGTAGTCACCTATGGCCCACAACCCTGTTAGCATCAAAGCAGGGAGAATGCAGGAGAAGAGGAGTCCTGCTCAAATAAGCCGGAAGGAGCACGGCTCTCACACTGTGGCTTTGAAGATCTTCTTTTGATCAGCCAGCTCGTCCCTCCCACAAGGGGGTGGGGGGGGGGGG